GATATGTCCTAAGGACGTGGTTAGTTGGCACACTGGGGATGGGTTGATGGTTAGACAAGATGATCTTGGATGTCTTTCCAGCCTTCATGATTCTATAATTCTATATGTTTCTTTGCTAAGTAAACTGAAGGAAAGCTTTATTTTTCACTCTTTTTTTGAAGATGCATTAAATATGGGAAGGGAAGCATTATACTGGAATTTATAGAAATTTAGAGTAATTTTTTTGAGATTTAAACAGACACAAGTAGAACAAAACTTGTCTGATTTTTTCCATTTCTTCCTTAAAATTAAAGCAAGACAATGTTTTGAATCTATTTATCAGTTTTCTATCACATTTGTAAAAGATTTAGAAGTCATTGCAACTAAATAGTCACAGCAGTCCCATGACTTCAGCAGAAGTTCAAGGAGCAAAACCTATATCAGCACCTGGACCAGAAGAAAGAGCCATTGAGAGAACTGAAAAGCACGAATGTGCCCACTAAATAGGCTGCAGTCCTTTTCCTGCTGCTGTATTTTATTATATTTGAGTCTTTATTTTATTTGAGATAAGAAGATTTGGTTTCTATCTTGTTTACTGCTTACTGTCTATATTGTTTACTGTTTACATATCAAAGATACATCTGCAAGATGGAAAGTTGTAGGAGGTTTCTGGTCAGGGCCTGTCCAGAGTAAAGTACACTGAAAAGCTCAGAAGAGTGACAGGTGACAGGTGACAGGTTTGTGCCTGTTTTGCATGCTCAGGGTGTTGACTGATGGCTGTGGGGTGTTGCAGAAACAAACATTCCCCATGTTGGCTAGAATTGGAGGAGGAGAGGCAGAAAGGAGGTGGTGGTTGTCACTTCCTGCAGTCTTACAGGCATCTTCACCGAGGGGTTCCTTCCTATTCCATGGGCTAAGATATGAACAATTTCCTTGAGTTCCCTTTCCTTCTTCCTGGGGCATATTTCAGCTTTTGAGGCTTTTGGTCTTCTGAACTAGGTATTTATTGTTGTTGCTGGAGGGTGTTTTGTCATGGTTGAGCATGAGAGCGCAGCATGCATTGTGTAGAGCTTTCTGAACACAATGCCTGGGGTGCAGGTCACCTTCTTGTCTTGCATTCATTAAGTCTGAGGCAGACTTGCACAGTTAATAATTGGTAGCATATGATATTAATCAAACCATGTATTTTAAGAGCCAAGTGATGAATACTGGTATCTTTATGCATATGTAATGTGGAACTAGAAAGAGGCATTTGGCTGCAGAGAAATTTGGCTTAGATGTTTAATGACAGATTTTGATTTTTTTTTCCTTCTCAGTAAAGATGTGATAAGACATGTTGAAGCCTTCCTGTACTCTGTGGCAGTGAGAGACTTTGTGGTCATGATTGTCTTATGAGATTTTACCTGGGATCTGGACTTCTGAAAAAATTTCAAAGTGAAATTAATTTCTAAAACACTTATTACTTAAGTGAAATTTTTGTAAATGGGCATATTGCACAGGGCTGCTAATGAGACCTAACCAACAGTGAATTATGACACCATATGCATTATCGAAATTCTGTGGATTATCAGTAATTACAGTGTAAAAACTTTAAAAAAAAATACTTAGGTATCTTTCTAAGAATTTCTTCCCTTGTTTGAAAATTTCTTACTGCTCCCTAATCTAAAGCACACATTCGGTATGAAATACAATGTCTTTGTCTACTTGAAAACCGATTTTTCAGGATAAACCTACTTCTATAGAATATACCATTTTTACTTCTATTTTTCAGTCCTCCAGAATCCAGCTTTGTAATTTATTTGTCTCATGAACCCTATCGTTTTGTATTCTTGGATTCATACGATTATACATTATGCAAGCTGTAGGCAATGCAGAGTTCCTAACCCCAAACCCCAGAAGTTTTCCTATTTTTTTTCATATGACTTTTACAAAGGCCAATCTCTCATTTAAAAAATGGTTTCCGGTGGTGAAATGTCACTAGTAGCTGAAATGTTGAAGCTGTGCATGACATACATGTTATTAACAAATAAATTGCAGAGTTGTGCAGCTGCTTTAGCTTGAACCTAACGAAATGCAATACTTTCACCAGAGGTGTGTGTTTTGCCATGGCAGTTCAGGTGCAGGACCTATTTGGCAGTTGACAAAATCCTTCATCTGTCGCTTCCTTTCCATGATTAAATGTCTCCCAGATGCAGCAGTCACCATGAAAATCAACATGGGCTAGTTTTCCCTCTGAGAATTTGCCTGGTTATTTGATTGTTTGAACCATTGCTTATGATGCTGCGATCAGCACTTCTGGTACTTCTATTGTCATAGGTCTAAATTTGATAACAAAACATCTGGGTTACTTTGTCTCAGTCCATGAGACCTTTTACATACCTTTTGTGAATAATCAAAGGAATGATATATGGTATAAATAATGGCCTCCTATAAAAGTCCATTGAAGACCTGTAGGCCCAGTGTTCTGTCTGCTCTTCCTGCAGATCTCCCTAATGTTAATGTAATATATCCTCTGTTTTTAAAAATGTGCCACTTCTCTTTAATGCTGTGGAAAGTTCTGGCACTGATAGTAACCTAACATGGGCATAAATACCAAACACAAACTTTAAAAAACCAGCCAAACAAAAAAAGCATGACAGAGCAATTTACTTACATTAGATGATTGATGAATGTCACATGCAGCTACTGAAAGCTTGGGGAAAGATGAGCAAGCAAGCCTGGGTGCCTCACTTGTTCTGCAGATAACCAAGCTTCTATCATTAAAATAGTTATCTTTGGGATTGTCCCAGTGATTAAGTCAGCATGGTTTGGCAGTTACTGATCTGTATTAAAAGTGAAGCGGGAAAAAAACATAATGGCAGGTGACTAGAAACAGTAAAAATCATAGGCTTCAGATCACCAGAGATGTCTGCATTGATCACATCCAGAGCAGACCTGTATGTTTCCTAGCAAGTACAGGGAAATCCTTTGCGGACAATGGCATGGCAAGTACATGCGGTAACAGCTTCCTTCAGCGCATGCTTTTGTCTTTAGCAGGTCTTCAATGTTTGGTGATGCTTTAATATTTTAGATCCAAAACTAACCATTTCTTCCCCCCCACACACATAAATACTGTAGAGTGTCTGTGTCCTCTTTCATTTTTTCTTTTCTTGGAACATTGCATGTCATATCCGGCAACCAGGGAAAAATCAAGCTCTACAGCTTTTTGAATTAGCATAATTAGACCTGTGAGAGCTCAACAATCCTGCCCATGAAAAAACTAAGATAGGATAGATGAATGCACAGTGAGGTAGATTGAGAACTGGCTGACTGACAGAACCCAGAAGGTTGTGGTCGGAGGTGTAGAGTCTGACTGGAGGTAGTAAGTGGTGTTCCCCAGGGGTCAATATTGGTCTGATCTTCTTTAACATCTTCATCAGTGACCTGGATGAAGGGATAGAGTGCACCCTCCACAAGTTTGGTGGTGATACAAAGATGGGAGGAATCACTAACACATCAGAAGGCTGTGTGCTACCATTCAGTTACCTGGACAGGCAGCAGAGTTGGGCAGAAGGGAACCTGATGAGGTTCAACAAGGGCAAGTGTAGAGTGAGGAGGAATAACTGCAGTATCAATGCAGATTACTGCCTGACCTGCTGGAAAGGAGCTCTGCAGAGAAAGACCTAATTGTCCTGGTGGACAACAAGTTGGCCATGAGCCAGCAGTATGCCCTTGTGGCCATGAAGGTCAATGGTATCTTGTGGTACATTAAAAAGAGAATGGCCAGCAGGTCAAGGAAAGTTCTCCTTCCCCTCTGCTTTACCCTTGTGAGGTTACATCTGGAGTACTGTGGCCAGTTCTGGGCTCCCCAGTTCAAGAAAGACAGGGAACTTCTAGAGAGCACAGTGGAGGGCCGCAAAGGTGATGAGGAGCCTTTCTGAAGAAAGGCTTAGAGACCTGGGACTATTCAGCCTAGAGAAGGGAGGACTGAGAGAGATCTTATCAGTGCTTATACATGCTAAGGGACGGGACTGAAGTGGATGGAGCCAGTCACAGGCTATTTTCAGCAATGTCAGGTGACAAATCAAGGAGCAATGGGCACAAACTAGAACATAGAAAGTTCCATCTGAAAATAAGAAAAACTTTTCTGTGAGGGTGACAGAGCACTGAAACACTGCCCAGAGAGGTTGTGGAGTCTCCAACTCTGGAGATATTCAAGACTCGTGTGGACACTTTCCTGTGTGACCTGTTGTAGGAACCTGCTTTAGAAGGGGGTTGAGTTGGATTTTATCCAGAGGTTCCTTCCAACCCTATGATTCTGTTATTTTATGTGATTCTGTGAAATAATGCACAATCTTACATAAACTGTCTTTATTACTTGGAAAAACATGCGCACTTAGCAAGTGAAAAAATATTTGTTTAGATATGCATAGGCAAGTATGCATATGAGTAGATGGTAGTGACTGCTCCTAAAGTAACATTTGTTTGCAATCAGAGGAGAGCTTGGAAATAAAGAGTAAAACATAATTTATTATTATTATTATTATTATTATTTAATATAAAGTGCAATGATGTTTTTTCCTCCCTCAAAACTGAGAGTTGCCAATAAATAAACATTTCAGAGAGGATTTTACACCACCTCATCTTTATGTCAAGCAGCATTTAATGGTTGAATGATCTCCTGCCCCGGGACTTGGCAGATATCCTCCAGGGGCTGACTTTGGGGATTACAATGACAGTCTATCAGTGGATCTTTTCCAATATAAACTAGGCTACGGCCATTTAAAATCAGTCACTATCAGCAAGTTAAATTATCTTTATTTATGTTAGAAGCTTTCCTATAAGTATTTTATAACAGTGTGGAATTTTAATATCCGGAGGGGTTGTTCCTGTTGTCACTGTTATTTGGCAATGTTCTAATTCATGCGATTAGGCACAATTTACCTGATTTCTTTCAAAATTATGTGATTTGTAACATTCAAGTCTAATCAACATCTAACTTGTAGTGCTCATACAACTTTTTCTGATTCCTCTCTTTATAGGTGGAAATAACGCTTCAAGATATCAACGACAACCCGCCAGTATTCCCCACAGATATGCTTGATCTGACTGTGGAAGAGAATATAGGAGATGGATCTAAGATAATGCAGCTGACAGCCATGGATGCTGATGAGGTAAGAGCAGGGTTACACATACAAAAAATGCTATTCTGGGGATGTACATTTTACTTGTTCCTTTATTCCTTGTGTGAGGGTTTGAGAAGCCACTGTGCCACCCAGTTCTTTGTGCTGCTTCTGCACCCTTTCCTAGGCCGTGTTTGGTGCCTTCCATCAGTCCCACATAGGCACACAGTCATGACAAAGTCCCTGTTAATTGAAGGTGCTTGCTGGACTTGTGAGAGTTAATTTCTCATAACATGTCCTAATGAGTAGTTGCACTGATGACAAAAAACACCCCCTTTGATTCTAGACGGTGTTGTTATCAGCAGTTTCATCACATGCCATACTTGCTGACTTAGCAACAGTTCTGGGCTGCCCAGCTTATTGCAGAGATGTATTGACATCCAGTTAAAGACCACAGCTTTAGATCTAAGTTAATTCCAGTTTTGAGATTTGCAGTATAGTTCATATGAGATAAGCCTTGTAGAATGAGAGAACTCTAATACTTGCTCACACCTTCACCAGATAATTTTATACTGTTAGTCTGAAGGAAAGTTTATTTCACCAGAGAAAGGAAAGAAAGCTAAAACATCTGCTCTGTACATGGACTCTTTCACAGAGCCTTTTTGCTTGCATGGATATGTTTCTGTGAGGATGCTACAACTGAGGAGCTGTTGAGGAACTAGCAGAAGACTTCTGAGTGATGGGTGTTAAACAGTTAATCCTTAATGAGGATTATTGGAATCTCTTGTATGTGTCATGCAAATACATCCAAATATAATTTAATGTATTCATTCCTTTTGGAAAGTAAATTATGAGAGAGTTAATCATATTGTTTCATTCACTTGAACTTATTTGCGTTTCACTAGGGAAAAGACTAAAAAGTTAGTATGAGCATGAAAAGAAGATTGTGTTGTCATTAAAATATAGGGTTACACTTAACAACAACAAGCAATTCTTTCATTCAAATAATAAGGTAATTCAGCCCTCTCAGGAGAATTTTATTTCCAGTCATTTTTGTGTTACTTTGGCTAGTCCTTCTGTGATTGCTAATTGATGTATTTAATCTTGCCACTACAGAGGGATGCCAAGAAGACCAATGGTATTCTGGGGTGCATTAAAAAGAGTGTCACCAACAGGTTGAGGGTGATGATCCTTCCCCTCTCCTCTGCCCTGGTGAGACCACATCTGGAGTACTGTGTCCAGTTCTGGGCTCCCCAGTTCAAGAAAGACAGGGAACTACAGGAAATTCAGTCTGTAGATGACAAAATCTTCTTTACTGTAAGGGTGACAAAACATTGGAGCAGGCTACCCAGAAAGGCTGTAGAGTCACCTTCTCTGGAGATACTCAAAACCCACCTGGGTGCTTTCCAGTGCGACCTGCACCACGGAACCAGCTTTAGCAGGGGGTTGGACTAGATGACCTCCAGAGATCTCTTCCAACACCTACAATTCTGTGATTCTGTGACTGGTAAAAATGATTAAGAACTTTTTTTCCGATGAACAGACAAAAGTTGACTTCGGAAAAGTGCATATCCATTACAAAAATTGTAACTGTGTGCCTCGTAATGTGTATCTTAAGATTAGAAAGAAATAAATGTTAAATGGCTGCTTTATGCTGAGATTTGGCAAACTGTTATCTAAGATGTTAGCAATATATTATGCTCTCTTCTCTTTTGTGTCAACTCCTGCTGTGTTATGTGTTTCTGTCTTCTTTCTTCACATGTGCTACCCACATATGCAGCTCAGTAAAATGAGCATACTGCCTTTGCTATGTACATAGCGGCCTTCAGAGCAAAAGGTTTAGCTTCGAGAGGAACCTTTAAACAGAACCTTTAAACAGAACCTTTAAAACTTATGATTGAAGTGTATACAAGAATCCCGCATTGATAGTATTAAGGCATCACGTTTCAGCCCCTTGTATGTTAGCATAAGCACTTTTTAGAGATCTGAGAAAAGATGAGAAGACAGTTGTGTAAGTGCTAAATGGCACGTAAGGCTTTAGCAATTGCAACAACTTCTAGCACTTCGCAAGTTTTTTTTTTCAGACTGTTCTTGATGGGAAATTTCTATACAGCTTTTTAATATGTTATACCTCATAATTGTATATTTTGCTTTGTTTCTCACCTAATTCTCACCTAATGTAAAGTTACTAATTTGATTAGGCCATCATCACAAGTAGTTCTGTTTTCACTGTGCTCTGTTGGTAGAAGGCTACCCAGCCAAAAAAATGGTAAAAATGTGATCACCTCTGAAATCTTAAGTTCCCATCATCTGTTTTTATTAAACCACACAATTACAGGAAAACATATTACATATCTCAAGCATACACCTGATCACACAGGGTCTGTGTATGCTGAAGCACTGCGTGCAGCTGTTCCAGAGCAGGCACTTGGAGAAGGGAGTTTTCTTTCAAAATGTCATTTTATCTGTTGGCTGAATCTGATTCTTTGAAGCAGCACTCCAGGGAATAGATTTGGCATCAGGCACTGTCACAAGGCCAGGTAGTGAATGTTTTTCTCTCATGTCACAGGTAAGAGTGGGTGTTTATCTTTGTTAATTTGCTTTTTTAGCTGTTTGGTAGTAGCTGTAATTTCTTTCTCCCTGATCTCTTTGATCAGGGTGACCTGTGGTCCCCACACAAAAGACATGGGGGAAATGGCCAAGTGCTCACCAAAACACATCCCAGTGCCTGCAGGTGTATCTTGTAAAGGAAGGAAGTGACCCCAGATTCTGAGGTCTTGTTTTCCTTTGCCATAAAGACCAATGCTAGGAAGAAAAAGATATAGCTAAGTATTGGCTTTCTGGGGAAATGTGCTGGGCTGGCTGCATCCCCTGGCATAACAGTGTGGCAGAATCATCAGACTGAGTAAGCCATCCTTAGGTGACTGAAGGCGGAGTCTGAGTAGTGGCCATTTTTGGGAAGCATTAGAACAGAGATCTGTAAAGCTGAATGATTTTTTCATTACTGATACAGGCAGGAGAAGGTGGCTTTTCACAATATTTGTGATAGGGTTGGGCTAAGGCAAGATGCATTGTATCAATTTTGGGGTAGAAAAGGTTTTTTTTTATTAACTTTTAATTTCAATATTTAAGGAATAAATAAGAAAACATATTTTCTACGTAAAATTACTTTCCTGTCATTTTCTTTTTAGCCAAAATATTCAAAATGCTTATGAATCCTTTGTTTTTTTCCCAAGGTCAAGTGAGAAATTCTGTTTGATCCCCAGAGGAAATGTTTTTGGCTTCCAGGGACTGACAGCCCAACCCAAGAGATCAGAACTGTGCTATTAGTGACAAATGACTTGTCACTACAGGGCTGGCTACTCATAGAGATGAATGCATCCTGACGCATGAAGGGCCTTTTAGGGGGCTGCTGCACAGCACCCGTGCAAACACTGCTCCCAGGAGTTTCCTCTGACCTGGAGGTGGTGGAACTGGTGCTTGCTGCCCTGATCTCCATCCTTGTATCCATCCTATCCTCCTCCTCTTCAGCCTGATAGAGAGGGCAGAGCTGTGTCTGCAGGCAGGATGTTCATTTAAATTAACCTTCCAACATAAAATACTAATAAGCACTGATCACTGTTAAGTAAAAAGGTGTTGCACTGCTTGGTAATACTGGCCTGAAGTTAAAACAAGTATCAGAGCTTTGTGGTCTTGACTGGATGCAATCCTTCTATGAACAGTGGAGCAGAAAAGTATCAGAGCAATCTTGTCACTTCACGTCTCATAAATAAAAACTGTGTGTGTATGCATCTGTGTTGGGGGACTGAAAAAGAGGCTGAGCAGGAAGGCTGTTTATTAAAGGAAGCTGTTCTGAAAGTATTTGCCAAGTGCAGTTACTGGAACAGTTCTTGTCTTACTTAAAATTACGATGTGGTTTTCCTGGCAAATAACTTGATTTGACCACTTCTGTTTTTACTTAGGGAGCCAATGCCCTTGTCACATACACTATTATCAGTGGTGCGGATGATAGCTTCCATGTTGACCCCGAGTCAGGAGACCTGATAGCCACCAAGCGCCTGGACCGGGAGCGCCGCTCCAAGTACTCCCTGCTGGTTCGTGCTGATGATGGCCTGCAGTCCTCCGACATGAGGATAAACATCACTGTCAGTGATGTTAATGACCATATCCCCAAGTTCTCCAAACCAGTGTATTCCTTTGACATTCCAGAAGATGCCACTCCAGGTAAATAGGAAACGGCCCTAAAGTGACAGAAGTTTTCTTTTTGTCTATCTAGAGGTACTTGAGGGGAAGAGGGCAGAAGACCTATCTGACTTGTCCAGTGAGCAGCCCTCAAACATGATGCAGAGGTAGAGGGAATCATGTCATGCTGAAACTCTGCTTGTTAACTTGTGCACTAGTAGAGTAACGTTTCTTTTAGGGAAGTACAGAAATGTTTGCTATTCCAAGAAAAAACAACTTAATACATAGGTGCAGAATAGGAATTATGCATATTCCAGTGGAAAATTTGGAGTGCTATACTTAAAATAATAAAATAAACAAGAAAAGAAATAAGTGGAAAAGCTTACAGGATGGAAACACTATACTCTTGTGGAAAAGATGCGGTGATGCTAGTCATCTTCAGTGAATATGACTCATAATACTTAATAAATTGAGGGTAGGATCACAAGTCTGGTGACCATTGAACTGCCAGTAATTTATATATTGGCTCTGACATACGCTCACTTCCTAACCTTAACATCATATTTTCTTAATCTCATCTTCAACTCCTGGCTCTGACAATGTTTTCTTTAAAAAATGTAACCGTTAGGTAGCTAATTCTGATTCCTAGAATTAATTGCTGATCTCTTGAGTTGCTCTTTTCCTTTTTTTAAAAGGAGACTGTTTTAGAGTTTATAAGCTAGGTTTTAAGCTAGAAACTATTTAGAACAAACTTTTCAAAAGCTATGTGGTCTGAAAATTCGGTGGTGTTTTTTGTTAAAGGCAGCATATTACAGCCATAGAGTCATTTTGACTAATTAACATGCAATCAGAAATGTTAAAATATTAGGTAATCAAATGTATGGAAATTGTACAGGGATATCCAACTGGGTAAGAGCTGTAGCAATATTCTTCATCTTGATAAGCAGTTTTCTTCATCCTGATAAGCAGTTTTCGTCATCACATTGCTTGTGAACTATTAACTGTGCTAGAACAAATATAATTTATTTGGTTCCAGGAAAAAGATTTAAATGATTAACTTTCTTGGAAATGACCTGATTTTAATTATAATTACTGTTCAATATACTAAATAGCGAGACTGAATTTCCAAACTTTAGTAAGATAGGTCAGTCATGTGAATGCAGCTATGCGGAAACGAAAACAATAGCACAAATTCACAAGGAGCTGAATTTCAAAAAACACTGAAGAGTCGACCCCTATAAGGTTTCTGGTTTTCTAACCACTGTTACTCTGCTTATGCACTTTTTTCAAAAAGTAGAGCTGGGATCTTTGGTATGTCCTGACATTTCAGTTTCTGCATTTAAAGGAATTAAATAGAAGTTTTCAGAACATGTATTTGTCTGTGGGGAGAAAAGCATCGTTTGAGTAGCAGAAAGAAAATACATTAAAATTGTTTTTGCCATGGTTGATATCTCATCTGGACATTTTCCCATTTAAAGATAAAAATAAATATTGCTGACCATTTCTTGTCTGTATTTTTTAATAGCCCTTGAAAATCAGCATAATATTGGATGTTGTTGCTGTCAGCTTTGAAAAACCTTTTGAAGAAGTTAAGCATACAATGCTGAGGCTTGAATATTTTTACAAAGGATTCCTTTAACTCTGCAGAGGTGCTTGACAATGATCTCTCTCTTAACACCTTGGTGATGTGCCTTTTACTAGTGACTTACTTTACTCTTTTCTCATGCTGTGCAGGCTCATTAGTGGCAGCCATTCTAGCCACTGATGATGACTCCGGTATAAATGGAGAAATCACATACACTGTGAGTGAAGATGATGAAGAGGGCATGTTCTTCCTGAACCCTGTTACAGGAGTCTTCAACTTGACCCGTGCACTAGACTATGAAACACAGCAGTATTACATTCTGACCGTTCGTGCGGAAGACGGAGGAGGCCAATTTACTACCATCAGAGTGTACTTCAATATACTGGACATAAACGACAATCCGCCAGTGTTCAGCATGACCTCATATAGTACGTCTTTGATGGAGAACTTGGCTCCGGGATCTGCTATTCTGAACTTCAATGTTACTGATGCAGATGACGGTAGGCTTTTACTAATATTCTGATGATCAATGCATATTTCACATAAGCAACATATTAAAAGGCCTAGCAAAAAGGACTTATTAGGGACTTGTTAGGACATCACAGTGTGATAACATTTACTGTATTCTATGTAGTAGAGGTTATTTTTCTCATATTTCACATTAAGTTTAAGAGGGTGGCAATGAATTGCCAAGCTGTATTTTATCTAGAGCATGTTACACTGTCAAGCACCAGGAGAGAAATCATGTCCAGCTTGCATGTTTAAGTTAGACCTAAGTGTTCTTTCAGATTTATTTTTTCATTTTATAATATATCCTAACTAAGTTTCTGCAGTAAGAGGTTTCATCTACAATTATCACAGCACATATTCTGAAATGTACTGTAACTTTTAAGTATATCATTAAGAGAACTATGATCTGCAAAGTACTGATAGTGGAGAATTAAAAAAAAAAAAGGTAAAAAGAGAAGGAAATTTTCTCTTTAAAATAAGCTTTAATATTGAGATTATTTATGACATCTAGAAGGTATTAATGTGTCAGAGGGCAGAAGATACAATCTGTATAGCTTACTTGAGCATTTTTCCATATAATTTTTGTCCAAACAAGAATGATTGCAGAATATGATCATAAAATACATAAAAATCATTCCATAGCACGTTAAGTGTCCACAGACATTACTCAGGATGGCTTAATGCGGAGTTATTCATAGCACATATGCTGAGTTTCCAGGTGAAGGATATTTTGTGACATGTTAGGCAAACTTGTCACCTCTTAACTTGAGAGGCTCAGGAAAGGCTATAGAAACGCCTTACACTGAAAGGTGCACTTCAAGCACAGAGAACCCACATGCTTCAAGGAATTCCAGATTGTTCGCATATAACAAACTGAGCTCATCAAGATGGTTCATTGAAATAATTTTTTCCTCAGGAAATACTAGGTTATCCAAATTACAGACATTTTTGTGGGAACATCCAAGTGCTGATGGATAGTACTTTCTGTGGTAAAGATTGTGCAACAATTTTGAGATCAAATGGAGAAAGTGATAGAGAAAAGAGGTTTCATAAGATAAGCCAGCAAGTCAGAAATTACAATTTCATTATATTGGCTGTTCTTGTATGGATATTTCTTTCTCTACTCTTGTTAAAGATTTTATATGTAAGCTAAATGTAAACTGGAGGAGGAACTTATACTTGTATCCAGGGAAGTGATTTCTTCTTGCAGAGAAATGTGTTTGTGTCTCATCTGTATCCTCTCATAGTTCATCTTTTCTGTCCAAGCATTCTTGCCTACATCACGATATACAGTGGGAAGAAACTGTATAATGAAAAAATAAAAAAAAATGCAAACTCTAACAACTGAAACAGAAAGGAAAAAAAAAACCTTAAAAAAATTAGCAGTATGATGCTTGGTTTCAAACATTCTTGAAAGTTAGTTCCACTTACCCATTATGGATCTGCTTTACTTTTCCTCATACATTAGTGTCCATCTGTGTACAATGAATGTGAACTGTCATGACATACAATTTTATATTTATCATCCAGTCAATTAGGAAGGAAGCAAATGAGCTTTAGAAGAGCAATTCAATGAAAAGTCAGCCAGATATTTTGCCTCTTCTATTTTCTGGCACACTGACTTTTTTTAATAGGTTGAATTTAAAATTAGTAGGGCAGAAATTTCATTCCAAGGTCATGCCAGGCTTTGTTACCCAGTAGGACTGCAACTTCAGCAAATGTTATCATCTGTTGGTATTTTTGTTTCAAGCCCAACTTGAAACAAAATCCTGTGTTTTCTTGCATTTGAGTAGAGTACAGAAATAACCGTTACTGTACTTCTCAGCATGTGATTTGCAGACAATGCACACAAGTATAATTTCATTGATTGCTTGTGCTACATGATTTCAAAGATCAGAAGAGCTCTTAAAAGACATTGTTTTCTAGTGATGTATACCTGTTGTTTTAGGACAAACACTGGTAAAGGACAAAACTGACTGTGAGAGAGAAACAGCTCCACTGTCATTTTTTTGTTTGACACACCTTGGGGAAACAACAGCTGTTTGTGTCAGCTTGAACCATACAACGATATGAGTAAATATCAGTTAAAACTACAGGGGAAATAATGAAAAGGTAGAAGGAGGTGAGAAGAACAGGTAGTAAATTTAATAGGAACAAGCACCACTATAGCAAACAATGGATAAAAAGAGTATTAAAATTTAGTAAAAAAATGATTTTCATCTAAATGTTCTAATTTCTACCTATTTCTGAAGTCAGTTGCCAAAATACTGAATTGCCAGGAAGAACTTTACTGAAATCAGAAGTCTTCCATTCATATAATTAATCATTTTGAAGTACAACTGAGCAGAAAATAGAATAGTATTATGTTTTTACATTGCTTTACTTGATCAAAGTAATGTAGAAACACTAATATCTGGCATATAAATGTATTCATTTCTTTAATTGCATAAAAATATTTTATCTTTTATGTTTGGTTCTATTTACTTTGTAATTATGTCCATACAAAGAAAATGAGAGAAAGAAAGGTGCCAATTAGAGTAGCCCTTGGGGGAAGGCAAGCAGAACTAGAGTTCCTGAGTCTGAGCATAATAATCAGCAGCAATTAAAAAATCAAATACAATAATAATATTGTAATCAAAGCAATTTAGTTGGAGGAAAAAAAGCTGCTGAGTAAAAATGACAAAATGTACAACAAAGTAATAATCTCTGCTTAAACAGGCAGCTTGATTTCTTTGCATGTAAAAGTGAGTTTGAGGGGTAAATGAGTAGTGAAGAATCTATTAATCTGCTAATCCTAAATCACAGTCTTCATGACCCAAAACAAGAAAACAAATCAATATGAATTAAAATATTAATAAGATAAATGCTTAATGTATCTGTGTATGTAAGTCCATATATATATACATATATGCATGTGTAAAAATGAAAGAAGATTTATTTCTATTTCCATTGGTGTTCCAACAATTAGCTGTTTAGAGTGAGCTCTGACGTTGAAGTGGCAATACACATTGTTTGCTATGTGGCATTTTTAGAGCCATTTTGTAGCCTTGTCAAGACTCAGAATCCATTTCCCGTACCAAAAGTATAAATCACTCCCTTGACCATAATTGCTAGTTATGTTTCAGTCATAAGATGAAGGCTATTCATCTGGTGTTTTTGAACACTTCCTTGTATGGTAAGCATACCTCTCCACTGTATTCACTCTTGGCCTGCTCCATCTAAGCATGGGAGTTTCTGGGTTTTTTTTGTTGGTTTTTTTAATTGGTTGGAGAAAATCATGAAATAATTATGTCAGTGATAGTATTGCTGACTAGAAATGGGGAGAATGGAGCAAAAAACTGTTCTGTTAGCAGCAGAACTATTGATACTTTCTTCAAAACTATTGCAGATGTGACAAGTTGTACATGTTCTCACTGCAGTTCTTGCTGAAAGAAGTACAGGGATGAGATCTGCTGGCCTTTCCCTCAGTGGCTGCTCTAATTAGCAACATCTTTCCCTGTCCCTCTTCAGCTCCTGTCAGAATTTAATTATTTCCATTGCTTATATTCTACTGTGAAACTGCTGAAATTAACTGTTGGATTCAAAAATTATGATGGGGAAGCTGAATGGGAGGCATGTTCATATGTTCCTCATTTCCATAGGAAATGAGGCTAGAAGCATCTATATATCTAGGTCAGTGGGATTAAGGCACACTCTCTTACCTACCTGTTTTCCTGCCCCCCAGGCTCCAATTCACAGCTGTCATTCAGCATCGCTTCCGGGGACAGTGTTGGGCACTTTGATATCAACAACAGCGGGGTGCTGAGCATCCAACAACCTTTGGATCGGGAAAGGCAGTCTTTCTATAGCCTTGTTGTTCAAGTCCACGACATGGCCCCTCTCCCTGCCTCCAGGTACACAAGCACAGCTCAAGTCTCCATTATTCTTCTGGATGTGAACGACAGCCCTCCTAGCTTTATCTCTCCAAAGCTGACCTACATCCCAGAGAATACACCGATAGACACAGTCGTGTTCAAGGCACAGGCGACTGACCCCGACAGCGGTCCAAACAGCTACATCGAGTACAGTCTGCTGAGGCCTCTGGGCAATAAATTCAGCATTGGCACTATTGATGGTGAGGTCAGGCTGACTGGGGAGCTTGACAGAGAAGCTGTGTCCAACTACACATTGACTGTGGTGGCAACGGACAAGGGCCAGCCATCGCTTTCTTCATCTACAGATGTGGTAGTCATAGTCCTCGACATTAATGATAACAATCCCATTTTTGCACAAAAGCTTTATAGAGTAGAGTTGGAGGAAAACACTTTGACAGGGACAGATTTAATCCAGGTGCTTGCTACTGATGGAGATGAAGGTACAAATGGGCAGGTTCGCTATTCCATTGTGAGTGGAGATAATGGTAATGAGTTTCGCATCGATTCTGTGACGGGGGTGATAACGGTTGCTAAGCCTTTGGACAGAGAGAGGGAACCCTCCTATATGCTAACTGTTCAGTCCTCTGATCGTGGAAGCAGCCCAAGGACTGACACCACAACAGTCAATATTGTTCTGAAAGATGTTAATGATTACATTCCTACATTTGAACTTTCTCCCTACAATGTGAATGTTCCTGAGAATTTAGAGACACTTCCCAAAGTCATTCTTCAGGTGAGTACACTCAAAAAATTGACATGCATTTGCTACAGTTACATACAATTGCTACAATGCCTTGGAATATTTTATTAATATGCCTTGACCATTGGAAAAACAAAAAAAGACAAGATTGAAAAGTTGCCTTTTGGCTGTAATCTAACAAGCAATGGTTGTTGTTTTGTTCTCCTTTTCGTTTTTTTTTTTTTTTCTTGCTTTTTGCCAAAATTTTGTATTGGACTTTGAAGTTGGTTTTGTGTCATCCCCCCTTCCCCCCCCCCCTCTATCTTTTCACACAGTCTAGGACTTCAAGAGTTTGCCCTATTTTCTTAGCTCATTCTCAAAATGCATGCAACAAATCTGATCCTTGCCTATGTAGGATGAGGCTCTATTCCAAACAGTGAAAGAGCAATAAATGGATTGAGATGGCAGGATGTGCAGTGTGTTCTTTGATACTGAGTTCAGTCTATATCAAGTCATCTGTGATTTTCACTGCACCCCAATGCCATCTTTATGTATTTACACATAAGAAAAATAAGTAATTAACTATTTTAAAATTTTCAAGCAATGCTTTTAAGTCCATCACCACTGTTTTAAGTCATTTTACCATTACAGCTAGTTTATAATAGCCCTTAAGGTACTGGGATTAGTTCAATCCATCAATTAAGATTAATGTCATAGAGAATATTTTCTCTACCCCAATAAAATTGTACAGACTCTGCACTTATTGGTTATTGAAATTTTTTTTCATGCCTTTATGTTGCTTTTGTAGGTTGTAGCAAGAGATGATGATCAAGGCCTAAACAGCAAGCTTACCTATGTCCTGGTGAGTGGCAATGAAGAAGGAGCCTTTATTCTCTCAGCCAGCGGGGAGCTGCGCTTGGTGCAGAGCCTGGACCGAGAAACGAAGGAGCAGTATGTTTTATTGATCACAGCTGCTGACTCAGGTAAAGCAAATGTGCAGTCTCTTCTGGTTAAATCTTGCATTACTTGACAGCGTTATATTCCTGATGCAAAAAAAAAACAAACAACCAACTTTCTTCACAATCTGAAATTTTAGTGCATGGAAGTTTGTACCCAAGTTTCAGTTTAGCTCTCCAGGGTGAAATCTGGGCTCACATGAGTCAAAGGGAGTTCATTTTCTTGAAATCAAGATTTTTATCCTTATGCATTAGTAGGTCTCACTACAGATTTTAAATGGGTTGGTTTATTTTCACCATAGTAGAGAGTGATCCTACCACGTCATGAGAGCCTCATCAACAGCAATAAAAAACAGTTTAATGTTGTCATCAGAAATGTGCAGACACTTCAAACCAATGGCCAGGAAAGAGCTATGGATTACACAGTTAATCTTACTGAAATGTTACCCCTCAAGAGTAATGATAATTTAGATTTCAGCATTTAAATTTTCTGCTTTTCCTACCATCCAGTTTTAGGTTGCTCCAAAATCCCAAATGTATTTTAAGTTCCTTCAGTTTAAAACACAGACATGAATTCTTATTATGAAGATTAATGACTTTTTGACTACAGGTGTCTGAGCATAAAATGTTGGTTGCAGATTTGGATATGAGTATTGGTAACAAAGACATTCTGCATCTTATCCTGGACAGATCTCCAGTCCTCCAGAATCTGATGGTTTGTAATTTACTGCAGGACTTGTTCTTACTTTCTAATAATAAAAATAGAAGCAAACCCAACTTGTTGACAAGTTCGTACAGTTTTGTTTTCTACTGTATTGTGCACAGTATCTCATGTCAATGACAATGTCTGTGACTTATATTTTCCTATTGCAGCAGTGCTCAGGTATTTCACAGTCTGAGCACAGCTGAAACTGTGAAATATAATTTTAGGACTTGGCATATCATTTGTCTTATACTTTGGCTGGAGATACTATGCCACATTTTATTTTTTTACACTGGCTTTCCATTACTGTATAGCTGCAAAGTGCACACTTGTGACTTGGACATGCTTGGGCTTGAACAAGCTTATGTTACTTCTGAATCTGGATACATCAAAGGAAGCAGATCCTTGGTGCCTGTTTACTCTCCCAGTCCAAGTTGGCATGTCTAGAAATTGAGTAGAATTCTATAGAATTTAGCCCTACATACGAAATATGTGGAGTCTGAATGTGGGCATGTGTCAAGTGGCAAACGATGATTATCTTTCTAAAAAAAAACTAGTAAGAAATCAGTTCTACCCTCTGCCAAGCAACACATATAAGCCAAAAGTTTGACAATAGCATAATCTTTTCCTAAACTGATTCCTAAGAAATGTGAAATCCAGAATTTTTATCCAATCATGGCAAATGAAAATATTTATCTGTATTTGAAGACTTCTTAGTTTCAGCAAGTTCAGGGGAGGATTTAATACATGAATTATGCATGGGACCTTTGTCTTCAGTGGCTGACAACAATAGCAGCATGTATCATTAGTTCCTATCTTAAGCACATACATATTATGCTGAGTAAGCATTATTTGAAGCTGTTTGGGTTTTTTTTTTTTTTTTTTAATAATTTTCCACGGTGTCAGCGTCTCAAGACGTTGCTTCTTCTTATCAGTACAAGAAGATGCTAGCAAAAATGTTCGGAAACAGATGCTAAATAGTGACTTTAAGTTAAAGGTAACTCTTTAGTGTTTTTAAGTTTCTAACTGGACAGTCAGTATGATTTATTATAGTTTTTAGCCGAATAATGTTAGATGTTATCTTTTGATTGCACTGGAAACGTTCTCTAAATTCATACCATCAAAGAAGACATTTGAAACTATGTTAGCCATGATTTATCTAAATAAAACATCATAGGAAAATCTGCTCCAGCAGAAGTTGATGCCAAAATTTCCCTTGATTTCAGGGAAGTAGTAAGTGGACTGTAGTCATAACAGGTACTCAGAGAAGAAATTCTAGGGGACCCCTGTTATGTTTAAATTAATCATACTGAGTTCATCAGTCTAGGTAGTAAAGAGTACAGATAGATAATTCGTTTGAGGCCTCTCCAAAGAGTGATGTTTGCACAGTAATATGGAAGAAAGGGCCAAGCTAGAGATTCTGGGTTTTCTGTTGAGCTTTGTCTTAAGTTTTGTATTACTGCGTGTTACATTATCATATGTGGAATGCACAAGAATTACTGTAGACATCTGGCAGCTGAAATGAAAAAAAGAAAAAATGATAGAGGAAGAAGTCTTTCTTAAAAGAGTTGTAGCTTATCAGAAGAAGAATGTATTACTTTAAAATATACAGATGCTACTGGTAGGGTTATGTGATGGATTTCCAGGCAGTAACATGCTGACCTTTGCTAGTTGATGTTTGATTCATTAAATAAGGTATTTCTGGCTGTACTACCAGAAAGATGGCAGTGACGTATCTGAAATGGGTAAATAGTGCATTCAAATATTGTGTTCTAGAGCAGCTGATAAATGTTTCTAAAAGAAATTCTCACTGACATGTCCAGTTCTTTGCCTAATGTAACTATGTCTTTCTAGTATCTTAGCTTGTAATTGTCAGATAATGCTTCAGTTCTTAGAAAGAAGAATCTTGCATAGAGTCAATTCAACCCACAACAACTAAAAAACAGGTAGTGCTGGAGTGTAAGAAATCAGTGGCTGCCAAAATGTTGAAAAGAGCAGACGTGTCTAAAACCATTTACATCCATATTATCTCTGAAAATAAATCAAGGAAGAGATTTGCACTTTGAGTACAGCTTTTGTTAGCTGTAATAAACAGTTTTTTGGTTTCCCTTTAGCAGCCAAACAAGTCTTGCTATATATGGTGCGCCTTATATAGTTTCTTTTCCAGACAAATATCACAGTAGGTGTCCAGATGCACTTAGCTCTGATGAGGTCTGGGTAGTACATCAAGGGCAAAATTCTCTCTTTCCAATCTATTTCCTATTTTTCATAGAACCTACATCTCAAATTTTTTATGCTCCACTGACTAATTTAAAACATTAGAGAATGATACTCTACTCCTATAGAAATCCGTGCCTACTCTTCCCTTTGTTTCAAAGAATTAGACAAATTCGTACTCAGAAGCACGTTTTGACTTAAGAACTGATGAATTTTCAACTTGTTTTTGAATGTCTTCCTGATCTCCCTATACATAATCAAGAATTTCTTAGTTATGTTTATTATTAATTCATCTATTTGTGGCTGCGGCACTTACAGTGTTTTTGTAGTTGTCTATGGAGAAGTTGATGGAAGAATTAATTATTTTTGTCCAGAAGTGTCAGCACAATGTATTGAAAACAGTCTGTAGCCTCAGAAAGTGTAGCCCCTTTGCCCATAACCATCACTTAATCCCCCGAACCTCGTGGGTTTTAATAGCACATATTGGCACCACAACCCCGAGTCTATTTGTAGCAGATGAAGGATTACAACATGGCAAAATATCAGCCTGCATATGCAAAGCATAGTGCCAGCTGGACTGCATGGGATTGGGTGCCCACACTGGCTGAGAAGTCTGTGCTTCATCACCCTGTGCAGGTATGCTCTCCCTGGAGCCCAGATTTCAGTCCTGCGCACATGAGAAAAGTTGTTAAGTTGCTGAGTATTAAGAGTTGAGACAAGCTGCTTGTAAGCATGTTCTGCAGGTGAGAAAGGGATCATTGGCAGCTTTCAGAAAAATGCTTTCCCAAGCAAAAGTCAGAGTCATGACATAAGCATCAACCTGGCTCTGACCCAGCTATTCTTTGACACTACCTGCTATCTTCTACACACTCCTCAAGATAGATCTTGAATCAACAGAGCGCAGCATCAAAACCTGATAAAACATTTTCCGGTGCTTGGCTCAGCAGCAGATGACAGTGATTTGTGGCCATACAGCCTGGTTCATGCTCAGTTTCTCTGAGACAGTAACCACAAAGATTCGTGATTTCAGCCTCTTTCCTCACTTTTGCATTTCCTCCTTAGTTTGTCTCAGATAGTTGACTATTGGTCTAAGCACTAGGATTTTACAAAGAGGCACAAAGCATCCCTCATTAAGAGCATTCAGCATCCTCAGAGCTGTACACCTGTGGTTTTGGTTAAGAAACAAAGCATAATTCAGCCCCAAAGTTCACCCATCCCAGTTTAGAGCCCCTCGTGCAGCAAAAGCTGTAGACCAGAGTGTGTGAAATATAAATATGACAGGCAAAATGATGGTCTGTGGAATAACATGATAGTGTTTAGATTGCAGATGCTCCTCCAAAATATTTGCTAACATAAACATCGAGAAACCTACGTGAAACTATTTGAATGAGTTTTTACGGGTCTGTTTCTAACACATAAATCATCTGTTTTGCTTTGCTATAATCTTCATGGCAAAATGGTTGGGAAAAGGGACTTTCTCAATGATTTTTTTCCCCCCATCTGTTGGGGACCCAGCAATGAGTAAACATTCAGTCTTGGCAGCCTGACAAGAAGTGGTGCAGCCTCTTTTATCACCCATAGCTTTAACTCGTTGAGCCATTTTCTGGAGAAAATGTTAGCATTCCAGCAGTCCTCCTCCTTTTATTTATTGGTCACAGGGAGGTAGAGTAGCACATCTGGAAACCTGCTAGCTGCTCAGGACTACTGTTTAAATAAACTGCAACCACCATATCTTGCTTTGGTTGGACAGAACAGCATGTTGCCACAATAAAGCCACAATCAAAATGTGATGTTTCTAATTAGAATCTGTGTTGCTGTGGGTTCTTTAATTATTTTCTTAAAATAACCTATTTTTCTAATTTAGATAAATAGTTCTGAAAAGCATGAACGAGTGGACTGATTAATATATTTAGTTAACTGATTGTCGTATACCTTCCTGGCCTGTGTCAAAAAGCAACCATATGTTTTTTCTTTACAAAATGTTGGCCCTTAACTTATGCATTCTTTCCTCAAGAATGCAGGAGGGCAACCAAACACAGAGGTTATATCCTTCTCAGGAATTCTCATTTGACATATGCTTTTGGTTCACTTCAATCTTAAAATCAAA